CATAGATGATAATTTTGTGCCGCTGTCTTGAATACATGAGATTTAAACCCTTTTCTGAACAATGGATTGTAAAGGCAAATTTGTTTCTTTCGTCAACGATGTAACACAATAATTCTTAACAAAATCAAAGGACGGAAAATAAAACGTGCTTTTCTAAAATAAAGAAAAACAATGCGGCCAATGACGTTGTTGGGTTCACGACGGGTGGCGTGACTGGCGGGGGTTTGAGTTCCACGGAGTGGGGCTAAAAAACCGACAGAAGGTCCAAATATTACTGCGGGCAATTAACTTGCTGCCTAACTAATAACTATTCTGTTCTTTGACGGTCCAACGCGCGTAAGACTAATCAAAATTCCTTCCGCGTTATAACGTGATCTGAAATTCGAAAACGGGAAACTCAAAACAATATACCAACTTAATAATCTCGCATTTTTCACATTTTCAGCTCCGCCTGGCTCCCTCTTCCTTCTCCTCGTTTCCCTCTCGTCTCTCGGCCATGAAGCACCGCAGCCCCAAGAAAATCTCCGTTAAATGGATCCCATTTCTCTGCCTCTCCTTCTTCACTCTCGGAATTCTCTTCTGTAACAGGTCTCTCTTTTTGATTTCCCATTAGTTCTTTGCCTTTTCCTTTTATTGTGGATTGAATTAATGAATTGGGTCAGCGCTTTTTTCTTTTCTTTTTTCCGGTTTGGGTCTTTAATCTCTGGAATGGAGTTTATTTTTGATATACGGAAAGCCTTTGGATGTTGCTTACAGGCTGTGGGTCCCACTTGAATCCAACGGTCAGCTCATCTCTCAGCAGCGACGTGAACAGGAGTTGCAGATTGTCTCCGAGGATTGCGATACGAAGAAAGTATGTTTCTGTTATTTTCACTATCGCAGTATAACTTCCATTGCTTGTTTTCTTTTACTTTTTTTTTTTCTAAAAGAAAAAACAATTTTAATGTTTCTAAAAGAAAGTTTTATTGTGTTACAGAAGCCTGCACAAGATAATGATGTAATGGGTGAAGTTTTGAAAACCCACGAAGCAATTCAGTGAGTACAAAATCGGGTTCGTATTATTTGGAAAAAAGAATTGAAGACTTGATTAATAATTTCTTTGTAATTTGATTTTTGTTGAGGCCTGACAGATCTCTAGACAAGTCAGTTGCAATGCTTCAGATGCAGTTAGCTGCCTCACGTAGTTCTCAAGAAATGGGGAACTTGGATGCCTCCAGTGCTGTCTCAACCTTGGCTCATGATGGCCCACCGAGGAAGAAAGTGTTCATGGTTATTGGAATTAACACTGCTTTTAGTAGTAGGAGGCGGCGTGATTCTGTCAGAGAGACTTGGATGCCTCAAGGTTTCATAGTTTTCAACGTTTCGTAGCCCTTTTGAGGATTTTATATTTGATTAGTTTGTTATTTAATATCTCGAATGAATTTTGACATTTGTATTCGAACAGGGGAAAAGCTTGTTCAGTTGGAGCGGGAGAAAGGGATTGTCATCCGTTTCATGATTGGCCATAGGTAAATCATCTTTCTGTTCCTTGCTCAGTGCATACATTTCTTGGCAAAAACCCTACGGAGTAATATGTTTTGAAGTAGGTGTGGAGTAATTTGCAATATTAAGCAAGTGATGCTTGTAATAATGTGATGGCTTGCTTCAGTATGTAATTTGAACTGACAGAAGTTATATCTGCATTGTATTACCCAGTGCAACATCCAACAGCATTTTAGATAGAGCTATTGATTCAGAGGATGCTCAGCATAAGGACTTCCTTAGACTGGTAAAACAGCACTCCTGCAATAATCTTTGATATCCTAATGAGATATTATGGCATTTCTTACCAATAAGTGGTTTCAATCTTTAAATGCAGGAGCATGTTGAAGGATATCATGAATTATCAGCAAAAACAAAAATTTTCTTTTCTACTGCAGTTGCAAAATGGGATGCTGAGTTTTATGTCAAGGTGGATGATGATGTCCATGTTAACCTTGGTACGTTTGCCATCTCCTATTATTTTTCTTTTTATTTATTGAAAACATTTTATCACCCAACATAGTGGTGAAGAAAAAAATTTTGGATCTATGTTCAATTTCTTACACTTATTTCTTATAGGTGTGCTAGCTGCAACTCTTGGCCGTCACCGTTCGAAGCCCAGAGTCTATATAGGGTGCATGAAATCTGGACCTGTTCTTTCTCAAAAGTAATATCCTGTTGACCTGTTTATTGTTGATAATATTGCTGTTTAATTTGCTTTGCTCCCTCCTGCAAATTTTTTATGTAACTTTTCTTGAATTCCTTTCTGTTCTGTAGGAATGTCAAGTACCATGAACCAGAATACTGGAAATTTGGAGAAGAGGGCAACAAATACTTTCGACATGCAACCGGGCAGATATATGCAATTTCAAAGGATCTGGCAACCTACATCTCCATAAACCAGTAAGAACTTTGATTTTTGTCTTATATATTGCTGACCTTATTGAGGGTTCTGATCTAATCTTCCTGGCCCCTTGTATTTGTGTCCATTTGGCAGTGTCTTCACCCTCATCCCCTTCCTTGCTTCAGTTTTCTATTTGATTATGTTTTTCTCCCATTCGAAGCAAGTAGCAATTTTTTTACCTAAAGCATATTGTTACTCAAAACATTGAAAGTCTTTTATTATGTTGCATAAATTCTGTCAAAATTGGGCATAATTCAAGTCCTTAAATGAGTTTAAAGCCAAATGAAAATGCCCAAGAGCACCAAAATGCTGATTAGATTTATAACCTTGGCTTATATGGGCAAAGCAGACTGGTGAATTTGTATATTATTTTAATTTTTGTAACTTTGCACGCTTGATCTTCTGCACCAATAATATTCTGTCTTAAAAAGGCATGGCTAATATTCAGAGTGACTCTGACTGATTGCAGGCCTATATTGCATAAGTATGCTAATGAAGATGTGTCCCTCGGTGCATGGTTTATCGGCCTTGAGGTTGAGCACATAGATGATCGGAATATGTGCTGTGGGACTCCACCAGGTAATGTTCTTGAAGAATATAAATAAGTTATTCTTGTGCCTAACTTTATATAAAATATAGTTAGTTTCAAACTATCACTAGGACCAATAAATGGAAAATCGAAATAAGGAGGATGGGATTACATGTTTATGCAATGGTACCAGATGATCAGATGGGTTGCAGTTGCACTCAAGGGCTTCTTATTGTCAAAATCTAGCAATAGTCATATATATTTTTTTGTTTTTCATTTTTATTTTGTTGACTGCTTTAAGTTAGTGTTATGCATTGCAAAATATGCAACCATATTGTTACAACATATTAGTTTGGACCTTATTAGTATTGCTCTGTCAAAGGAAGTGTGTCAAGAATAAGGTGTTAGAATTTTTAATAAAGATTGTTAGTGCTCATTTGATTTCATTAATGCATGACATACTTTTGTAGTTTGGTCTTCCCTCTTAACTCGTGTTTATTTCTGGGACCGCAGATTGTGAGTGGAAGGCACAAGCAGGTAATGTATGTGTTGCATCATTTGATTGGAGCTGCAGCGGAATCTGCAAATCAGTGGAGAAGATCAAGGTTGTTCACGAAAGGTGTGGTGAAGGGGATGGAGCTGTTTGGAGTGCTTTATTCTAAATTAATTTGGATGGGATGGTATTCTTGAGCAAACAAGAGTATACCTTTGTGGTTGACAATCAAGGAGAAGCAGTTTTCACTGCTGAGGTGGGAGAGAACAGTGCATCTGGTTACGCTGTCATGGTACATATCTGCAACACATTTCCTCGAACTTTTTCGTGAAATAATATCGGGTCATGGAAAGCAAAGACATTTATGTAGGAGCTGTATAATCAGAAAAGCTAAGGCATGTTCCAATTCTTTTCTTGGAGTTTAGCAATGTCATAGTATTTATACACAAAAAGTGTTATAGTTTTGTTTTTCTTCTTTCTCATTTTGCATAGAAATTAAGTGTGATGTAAGAGAGGTTATAAGTATAATGGTGTTCCAAACACCAAAAGCTAAATTATGGCTGCATTTATAGAAGCCATTTCATGTAAAAAGTTGCTGCTTGTACAATTTTGCAAATGCTTTTATGAATTAAGACGTGATGGAGAGCAAACATTGTGTAATCAGCTCCCCTCCCAAATCATCCTTTTCCAGAAATAGGGCGTGCTTGTTATCTTCAGTTGCTTTGCGGTTGTGAAAACGGCTTAGATGGGAAACACTGCCACTTATACTTGGCAACTTTAGATCAATGCACTTTACAAAAGGTAGCAAATAATCAATTTTTATCAATCCGGGGTCGTTTAATAAAGACCTTTTATATTATCAAGTCGTCAAGATACAATCTTGAACCCAAGTTATTGAAAAAGTTAATCAAAAGATTATTTTTTATTTTAAAGAAATTTCAAAAATTTGAATTCCACATCTGATCATTAAATTATACAATCATTAACAAAAAGATGAAAACCATATAAATTTTCAAATTTTAGGAGTGAAATTATAAAATTAACACATTTTATTATAGTATATTTATAAAAATTAATAAATTAATTAAGAATTCGGCTAACACATGCCTATCAACCCTTTCGAAGATTAGTTAAAATTTTATTTTAAAATATATTTTTTATTTTAATATTTTATTTTTATCAAATTTAAGAACAAAATACATTAATTATAAGATTTTTTTTTAAAATTTCATCTTTTAGCAAATGTTTGTAATTTCTATTTAATATTTGCAATTAGTTAATTATTAAATAATAAACGACAATGATTTATAGAATAATAATTCAATAATACTTAATTAATAAATATTGATGAATCGAGTTAATGGGTGTTGGACTATGATTTGGGCTTGAGGAGATTTAACCCACGTTTTCTAGAAAGATTCTCTCTGGCTCTTCCTGAAACGGGCCGTAATTAATAGGCGGACGAAGAGCAAGATGGCCCGAGCCGCGAACGGAATGGTTAATAACCTCACAGCAGAGACACGGCATAATTTAATTCCATTTTATACATTTCCAATTATTTTTTTTAAAAAAAAATTAATGGCTGTAACTTTTCTGTTTGTCTCCAACAGCAGCTGCATCTTCTATCACGCACCGTTCACTCTAAAAAGGACTTCTCTTAGGCAAAAGCTCTCTGTCTCTCAAGTCTCGTCGCTAATCAACGTGAGCTCAGAAATTGTCAAACGATCAGACGGTGGTCAGCCAAATGGAGAACGCCGATGTTTTCTTAGGATTGCAGGATTTTCTAGAGCGCATGCGCCAGCCTACCGCTGCTGATTTCGTCAAATCCATCAAAAGGTCTATCAATCTTTAATTGCTGCCTTTCTTTCTTTTTTTTCCCCCTAAAAGCTCACCTTTAAATGTAGATAAAGACTTAAGATAGAACGTGATTTGTGATTAATCGGAAGTGATGTAATGAATGTTTATTTGATCGATTTTTATAGTTGATTGCTTGAAATTCAAGTAAAATTCTCAATATGTAAGCTAAAAATGGGGAACCTGAGATTGTTCTTTTTAAATTCATTGCCAAATGCAGCTTAATTTTACTAGAGGAAGGATTGGTATGTTTCTTTTTTTGGAAGGAATAGTTTGATTCTTTCTTGAGGCAATCAGTTCCGTGTTTTTGACTTTTGAGCTTGAGTTGTCGCTGTATTGCAGTTTCATAGTTTCGTTCTCAAACAATGCTCCTGATCCGGAAAGGGATAGTGCTGCTGTACAGGCGTTCCTTGCCAACATGGAAGCTGCTTTTCGAGCACATCCGCTTTGGGCTGGATGCTCCGAGGAGGAGCTGGACAGTGCTGGTGAAGTAAGTCACTCATACTACTTATTTTGCATTTTTGTCCTGTCAGGTTCTGGTCTACATGCTTTATCCACTAAATTACTTATCTTTATTTCTATTTTTACGCAATTTCTTCTAAGAAAAGGAAAAATCTTTTCCAGTATTGATGCATTTACCTTTTTCTTTTCCAAACACAGGGACTGGAGAAGTATGTTATGACCAAGTTATTTACCCGTGTGTTTGCTTCACTTCCAGATGATGTAAAACATGATGAGCAACTTTCTGAGAAGATGGCTCTTATTCAGCAATTTGTTCGGCCTGAGAATTTGGATATTAAACCGGCCTTTCAGAATGAGACATCTTGGCTGGTAAGTCGTGGGATTTTATGTTTCAAGCAATTTCCTTTTTGCAGTATGTAGTAAACTTCACCTTCTGAATATGTTGGCTCTTTGAACTATTTTTGTCATGTTTGGCATGCTAATGGAAGAACCCTTTGGACATTTTTTACGGTAGACTTTTATATCTTCTTTGCAAATAGTGAAATGATTAGAATATTAACTGGAAAGAATCAAACATATCTAGGTGTTGGGTCCCTTTGAAGATAAGAATTGATGGTTTTATCTAGAAATCAGGAGTAAACCCCTAGTTAATAAGAAGCTCCTTGGTTTCTCAAATAGCAATCAGAGGTACATCTTGGTGAAACCAACAAAAAGAATAACATGTTTATTAGATGCTTCCAAGGATGGAATGCTGATAGGTATCATCATATTTCGGAAATTTGTCTAAGGAAGGCAGGAAGATGGATTCTCTGAGAGCAAAAATCCTCACCTGGGAAGGAAAGAACATCTCATTGGTAGGAACATCTCTTCATAGAGAATTTATTTTCCTTAATTCAGCCCTTATTTGAGCTCAAAAGATCCTGTCTAAGCCATCTGATGTGGCAGATCCTTTTATGCCTTACTCCCAGCTTAGGGGAGAAGTCTAAATTTGACTTGAATTCATTGTAAAATTCTCCCATGACATGATCAAATGAGGACCGTGCACTCATGTAGTGGTTTTCTAATACTCTGAGGCCTTGTGCCTTGATAACATTGGCAATACTTTGCTACATTAATCTATTTTTACGTGAGAGCTGATCTGGTTCATGTCATGTTGAACATATGCTGATTTAAATTTTAGATATTGTACAGAAGCAAAACCATAACCATCGATGCTTGTCAATACTTGAAGATGCTTATTATGTAACCATATGTAGCTGTTTCCTCATCTTGTTTGATACCTCTAATGTTTTTAGTTTTGCTCCACGCTATATAAAATATCCTCCTTGTTTGGGAGCTTCATGCGACCAATAAAATCGTCTTAAGCAACAGTGAACAATGATATCATCTTAAGCAACAGTGAACTTATTTTGTCATGTAGCTCACTTTGTTACAGTACTCGAAGCTGCAGTTGGTTGTGACTAAAATTTTTGTTGTACTGATAATTGTGTAGACTCTATCGATGTAATTTGTTAATTGAAAGCTGAAGGTCCAGGCTTATTATGCTGCTTTTATAGAATGTTGTCCTCGGAAATATTGTCAGCATAAGAACAGCAACTGGAATTCAGTGTTTTTGGAAGCTGGTCATCTAGCTTTTCTCTCTAACTCCAAACAGGTTGCTATAGCTGAATTTTATCAGCAAGACAGGCTGAGAGTGATGTAGATATTGGTTTTTGTTCACTATAAATGACCAGTCTTGGTGTTAACCAGCTCTTTATTGTGAACTGTCTACAATGTCTTTCCCCCACCAAAATGTTCAATGAGCTTGTCATCATGATAATGACCAAACTAGTTGTAATAATTTCTGCCTTTTTAATTTGATACTCCTAATTATTATACTGTCTTGCATTTAGCTTTTGCTTTACTAACTATTGGGCAGTTGAGCCTACCTTATTTACGTCCTTTACTCTTTGTTGTTTCAAGAACATACATATATCATTTGCAAGAAATATCCCAACATTTCAGTCCAGTTTGATTATGGCTTTAGGATATTTCTGATAAAGTTTTTAATCAATGAAGCTCCTACTTGATATGGTTAGGAAGTTTGGATGCCTCACTATAACTATTCTACCTTTTAGTTTTTCCCCTGAATCTATACTTCCTTATGTTGCCAGCTTGCACAGAAAGAGTTACAAAAAATCAATATGTACAAGGCTCCAAGAGACAAGCTTGTTTGTATCCTCAATTGTTGCAAGGTTATCAATAATTTATTGCTTAATGCTTCACTTGCTTCAAACGAGAATCCTCCTGGAGCAGATGAATTTCTTCCTGTCTTGATTTATGTTACCATAAAGGTAAGACTAGTAATATGTGCAGGATTAGTTTGTAGTTGATCCTCCCACCATTGCAAAAACAATTAAGAAAATATTCTTCTCATTAAATTTTTATGTAGGCAAATCCTCCACAGCTGCACTCAAATTTGTTGTATATACAACGTTATAGACGTCAATCTCGATTAGTTGCTGAAGCAGCCTATTTTTTCACAAACATGCTCTCTGCGGAGTCTTTTATCTCGAGTATTGATGCAAAAGCGCTTTCAATCGAAGAAACTGAGTTTGAGAAGAACATGGAGTTTGCTCGAGCTCTTCTGTCTGGCCTTTCAACAGATGTGGATGGTCTTTCCAGTCAAATTGACCAAATTGCTGGACATGATCCCAGAGAATCTACTGAATCCGGACATGAAAATCTTATGGAGGACCACTCAGTACGACCTAAATCTTCAGAAACAAAACCTTCAAATAAGGAAAATCAGTCATCAATCACTAAAATTCCATCAATCTCAGAGTTGGAGAATAGAGGGGCAGCTATGCTTTTGAAGGAGGATCAGAGGAGCAAGGTTTTTCGGGATTACCCATACTTGTTTGCTCATGCGGGTGACTTGACAATCAGTGATGTGGAAGACCTGCTAAATAACTATAAGCAACTTGTGTTCAAGTATATTTGTCTTTTGAAAGGATCGGGTGGTGGTTCTGCAACTTTTCCTTCATCCGGATCGCTAGCTCAAGTCCATCACCATGTCGAAACAGTGAAGGAATCTGCAGAGAATAGAGTGTTAGAACAGAATATTGGGTTGCAAAAAGATACTGATACAGTGGATGATGGTCCAAATAGAGTTTCTAACCAAGAAAATATTGAATCTGATTTCTCAAAGGATGAGGTAGTTCCACCCTCAAAAGACAACCATGATGACACCTCTGAATAATAGCTGATTGGGAAGATGTTTTCTGGAGTATGTTGCCCTTTCAAATGCTGCAGTAACCAAGTCACTGGGGCCTTTTTGTTCCCCTTTATGTGGTGAATGGAATGCTGTCATGAGTTCAAATCAAAAGGTGCTGTCATAAGACCATCTTTTTTTATTTTGAACTTAAATGAGAGACTATTTTGCTGTCTAAAGAGAGAAAAGCCAAGGAGGGGTGAAGTTATAAATGGAAGTTTTGCAGTAACTGCCCAGATTCGACTCATCAAAGCCTAGTTCCAGCATACATGCATGACAGGTGAGATTCTTGTGACATCTTTGTACACTATATTATGGTCCATTGTGATAAGTAGGAAGCTATAAACTTGGAAGTTCTGTTTTGAAGCAAGGTGTGGCGACCTTTTGATTTATATGCCAATGATGCCGCACTTGATAATTTACTGAAATATATAGATACATTGAACATTGGAGAATTATATTCTTGACTCATAGTTTGACTTTGTTTCCTGGTTTCCTGCTATCGAAGGGCAAGTAAATCATTGGATTGGTGTCTTTATTCTCTTCAAACTCTTCTGTGTGGATGGAATACACCTTGCCCCATCCCTAAGATGGAAATGGTGAGTTGCCACATTATTATAGATATTTGAGTCCAAATCAAATGTTGGATTCTCCCTGTTCTCTTTTGATTTTAATTCTTCGACTAAATACATCTAATCGTTTGGTTCAAAGACAAGGCTGGTATTCTTTGATCATAGAGATAAGAGTTTGAATCTTCCCTTCCCCAAATCAAAAAAAAAAAAAAATTGACTAAAATTTTCCATTCTAAAACACCAAGAAGTTTGTATCAAGTAATCTCTCACCATTTACCTTTTCTGTTTGGAAATTTGCAAATTGTTCCTTTCACACAAAACCATGTAAATTAGAAAATTGCAAAAATTTTTCTTTTTGTTGCCTCCAGATTTCCAATGTGAGTAACTGATAGAACCCTATTGAAATGACAGAAATAACAGCGAGACAACCAACAATCAGAATAAACCTAAGCCAAGTATTACACATACCATACGGTGTGTAATTTTCTAGATTTGGGCCAACTTTGTTGGACTGGTTCTGGGCTGTCTCTTGCCAGATATATCATTTTCCCATGTGTCATATCAGTTATCATATAGTCCGAGACAAGACAGACATGCACGGAAATTTAAAATTAGACACCAAATTTTTAATATTTTATTATTATAATTATTAGTTCTTTTGTATTGCTGTACAGATGGGTTATGTGAAATAGAGGGTAACGGTAACAGATAAGCATGTCTTCCATTATGTAGGCAATCTCTGGCAATGCTACATGGAGGTAGCTTGCCTTATTTCCACTTACTCAGCCTCTTATCATTATTCAGCTTTTACCTTTTCATCTCTACCCTCATTATTTTAAGAACCATGGGCACAAACTTACCCAAAAAAAAAAAACAGATAATCATGATCTTCATAACTATTTGACATTTTCATAACATTTTCCCTTCAGATAAATATAATCCGACAGTGACAAATACAAACATACAATCCTAACCATAATCACAACTATTTACTATTAATTAATTTTGTTTCGCAAACTGATTTTTTTAATTTTTTGTTTACATATGTATAATTGCCAGTCCTTGCGGATCATTTGATTATTTGTAAACGAAATTCCACTTAATATGTTATGTTATTGTTTGTCGTGGTCTCTTTGACTCGTTTAATGTACTTGGGCTCAATCAAAAATAACTGAAACTTTCAACACAGTAAGGAATATAGAAATCTTTTCAGGTGAAGAATAGAGATTTAGAGAAACCTTGACCTGGTATGTATTTTGAACTTCACGGGAATAAGCAATGACTAAACCTGTGATTTTATTCAGCGATGAGCCAAAAAAAGGGTCAGCCTATTATTTACCTTATTAATAAACCTGGCAAAATATTAGTATTATTTAGTTTACCACCAATGAGTTTGCAAGGATTAATTCCACCACTACATTGTCTACATTTGCACCACCAACGCCTCTCTTTATTAGTGCATTACTAGAAAAAAAGATGGATACAAAACCTTATGCTATAAATCTTTTCTATTTTCAATTTATTAAATTAAAATATTTTATTTTGTTAATAATCATTGTGAATTTAAATAGACTTAGAATTTTCTTTTATTAATTTTAAAAGGTACGGAAGCATTTGAAATACGGAATGTAAAACAATCCAAACGATAAAGTTGAAATCGTATAGTAAAAATTTATTATTTTAATTTATTACTGCCGAACTCGTGCTTTTTAAGCTGGTTAGCTTTGGGCCGGTTTCCAACTAATTTCTGACCGACATATACCAGTAAGTTACCCTCTTCCTCAATAGGAGTTGACTTGCCATGTATATAGACCTCAATTTCAGTTTATACATTATAAATAAAAAGTGGGATGTCCTTCTATTGATTATCGGCATTTTACCTTGAAAATGCATCAAGAGCTTGAGTATGAAAAAGGGTGTAGATTATTTGCCAAAATCATAACAGCTCATACTTGACCTCAGCTTTATCCCTCTCACAGCAGCCTCATCCTTTCTTTTGGCCTTTTTCCAAAATCGTACGTAAAAAAGGCCAAGCCATTTTTCCGCCCTTTCATTTTTTTATCTCACCGCTGACCCCTGCCTTTGTTCTTGTACTAAACAGTAGCTGTACGCAGGATCTTTCCTCCTGGGGACATGCTGCTCCAGCCACTGGAGTGAACAAGATGAAGCCAATGAGATAATTGCAAAAAAATCATGGGATTTCCCTGTTTTTCTTGCCAGGAGGCTTCCATGTATAGCTGATACAACAAAACATAAAATATGACAAAGAAATATTGAATGTACGACAACCTGCAAACACAAATATGACTAAAACCAAGCTATCTAATATATGGGCCAATCTTTAATATGACTTTACCCAGGCTGTCTCTGGCCAGGCAGATCAGCTAGCTCCTCCTCCTCGCTTTCCCTACTTTTCTCGTGCTTCCCTAAACCCTTCTTTTTAATATAACTATATATATTTTCATACGGCAGAGGGAGAGACTAGAGAGAGTAAAGAGAATCAAAGAAGAAGACAATGTATAAGGTTTAGCAACAATTATTTATGAACTTTCAATAATTTATCACATGCAGGGAGCATGGATCGAATAGGAGAAATGGTGGGTCACAGACAAGCATGTCTTTCAAGATTAAGGCAATCTGTGAATGCAATATGTTCAGGTACCTTCCTTTGCTAGCTAGCTACTTCTACTAACTCCAGCTCTATTTGCCATTTGAGCTTTCATCACCATTTTCGTCTTGTTCCCCTTCCATTGCCTAATCCTTAACACTTTTTTATATATTGGGTATGCAAATGTTAGAAGTAGGACCATGCTTTCAACTTTAACCCACGTACCTTACGGTTAGCCAAAATAGAAATAATTAACGTCCTTTTTCTTTCCCTTATTTGATGATAAAGTGGATGTATCTTCAACTTAAAATGTTAAGTTAGAATCTATTTTTCTCGAAATTAATATCTTATAAAAAAAAGTTATAAGAATTTAAATTATATCAGTAGTCTTAAAGAATTAAAAAATTTAATAAAAACACTTTAGAGAGTGTTTATGAACATTGACTAAAGTGGTATTTATAAAAAAAAATTATAAACTAATAAATTATTTTTAATTTAATACTAAAAGTATTTTCTAAAAATAATATTTTAATTAACTTTAACAAATATCTATAAGCACTGTTTATCCAAAACTGTAATTAAAAATAAAAAATATTATTATTGAGTGTATAACGATATTTCTTAATTTTAGTGTAAATTGATAGCCCTTTTTCTCCCTTTAAAAATAGAACTCTCCATCTCATGTAAGGCAAACAAAGGTAGTAGTACTAAGCAAGTCCAACTTTCACGTGCCTTCCACATGCGGGAATACATGGTGTGTTGGCTGAGCTGCAAACATCTACATCTGACTACCTTTTTTATCTTTCCTCCTCTCCACAGATCATCCCCACGTGTACGGTTCTCCTCCTCTCTAGCCTCTGCAAATATGATCGGCTCAGTACACGTGGGATAATTTTTTTAATTGATCAGATTCAGCTGCATGTCGACGGTGGTAGATACTCAAACATTTCTCTGGCGGCACCAACTCAGCGTGTTCAGTGAGATGTTGGGCAGGTAACCGCCATATCGAAAGTAGAGAGAAATGAATTAAAAAGAAATAAATGTGGATCCCACCCACCCTGGGCCAAAAAGGAGATTAATTAAATAATGATAATTTTTTACTCTTGATTTTGGACAGTAAATATTGAGAAATACTTTCTTTTTGAAAAAAAAAAATATCAAGATAAATAATGAGTGAAACTTCAAGTTCAAACTATTTACGTCAAGACATACGATTTTATTAAATGAGTCAATATTTTGTTAATAAATTTACAAATATTTAATTTTTAATTACATGTCCTTTATATAAATCTTTTTTAAGTAAAACATAAATACGAGACAAATGACAAATTGGGTGTTTTAGTGCTGATTAATCGGTGTTTAATAGGCTTTTTTCAGATTTTGAAACTTTTAAATTTAAGGTTCATTTTATTTGTTTAATTAATTGTTTTATTCAATGAATTTGATATATGATATATGTATATAAATGTAATTGTAATTAAAATATTTATTTGTAACTGTAAGCTAGTAAAGTAAACCCTTAACCTACCACATGTTACACGTTGCATTATTCCTAGTGGTCTCTTTGACTCAATTTTAATGTTGATCCAAATTAAAGAAGCATCAGCTATAAAATCTATGTGTTTCGCATGTATTAAAAACAACCTGAGATGATGCAAGGAAATGGAACAGAGATTTAGAATCTTGACCACCAATTTATTCTATTATTAAATTGAATTCGAGTTTCACTACTTTTTATTTATTTCTTTTTTTCTTCCGGGGAAAACGCAACACTTTAAAGATCATTTAAAAAGTTAAAGAAATTTGAATTTTATCAGCTCGAAAAATTTAGAATAAAAACGAATGAAAAATATCTTTTTTTTTAATATGTTATCATTGAGAGTATCATATCGTTTTAAATTATTATTATTATTTTTATCAAAATTAAATTAAAAAAAAGGAGTCCTAAAACCACAAAAATAAAAGTAAATAAGATTATCGTAGGGATGTAAAACTATGGCTGGAGCTTGAAATCGGCAAACCCCCATGGACCTCAAGTCAAGGAAACGAAAGAGGGTCGGCACATGATGTACAATCAGTAGGTTGTGGAGTTGGCATAATTGGATTGGTGATTTGGTGGTTCCTTGAGAAGGCGGGTTGGGGTTGGGGCTCGGGTTGGGACCTAAGAATAATTGTGAGGAGTAGGCAGCTTTCTTGAATTTACAGCATGCTTACCAGTCCCCAAGAAACCAAAATAATGGTCCTGTTCACGCGTGTGAAGGAACTTATGTAAACCCACAAAGCAAGCTTCAAAGGTGAGACGAGGGAGTAACCCACTTCTATTTTGTCCTCTTGTGTTCTTTAGTGACAGTCTTTGAAAGACTAAGTAAGCACCAAACTTGGAGTTTATTATTATAATAATAAATGATAGGGGAACCTTGCAAAAAGTACGACACTTTGTTCGTGTTTGACAAACTCTACCCATCCCCCACCAATGAGGACTAGACAAACTCAACCCGTCCCCTTAAAAACGTCTTCAAAAGCCTTCTCCTCCTCTGTTCATCTCCTTCTCTCATTTCAATCTTCTTTTCTTTCCTTGGTGGCATCCATTTTCTTTCCTACTTTCTTACGGGAAGACTAGAAGCTGGCATATATGGGAAATGGGTACAATCAACATCTTCACCATCACAACATGCATCTGCATCCCAAGGGAACTTTCTTGCCAATGTTGTGTTCAAAACCATCCATTAAAGACGTGGCTCTCCCCAAATGGCAAGACCGGTCTGCCTCTTTCTCTGATGACCCTTTGTCTCCGAAGATCAGTTGCATGGGACAAGTCAAGAGGAACAACAGGATCGTTGGGTTCCCTGCTTCTCACAAACTCACCATCACCACCAAGAATAGCTCCAATAACAGTATCAAGTACCTCAAGCTCAAGAAGCTGTTTTCTGGCAAGAATTTAACTGGTAGCCCTGCCACCACCACAAATACTACCACCACCAGTTGCAGAAGAAAAGAGGTGTTACTGAATGGTACAAGCCGGCCCAAGAATGATGATGGAAAAGAGAATTCTGCTTCAATCAACATCGAAAACATGGATCCCCCTTTGCCTGTGATCAAGAGAGTGCCAAAACAAGGTGATAAAGAAGATGGAGATACCCTTTGGCAGAGGAGATCACGTGGGGTTGCATTGAAAAGCTTACAGCTTCAACAGGTACAACTGAACAGACATCAAGAACCAACCACAGTCTGATACGAGCCAGAAAAAATACACTACAAGATCAGATAATGGAATAGGTAATGTATATGATTTGTGTTTAAAAGTTCCAATTTTGATGATTGTTGTTTCATTTATGTATTTCAAGAGAGGCATCAAATTATGGTGATGCTAATCGCAGATGTATATGAATTTTTATTCATCAATGTTCAAAGATTTAGGCTTTAATCTCCCAAAATTATTGATAGACCCCACCACTGTATTTTCTTGCCGGTTGTTATGTGAATGCCAAAATCAACAGAGTATCCATTGGGGCTTGTCAGATCAAGTTTCTGTTCCAGATAATTTTGTCACACGAATCATTTCTGATAGCATGATGGTGCTCAAAGTGAATAAGGGGCGGGGAAAAGGGTGAATGATGAATTCTAAAAGCGCGAGGCTTTGACCAGTGCAAAACATTTGGATAACACTGATGGGGAGGACCGAACAATGTGGAATGGATTTGTGAATGATACAGAATAGTCAAGAGTGATGTACGTACCAACCCAACCATACACTGCCAGACAAAAAGCATACATTTTTCTATGGTGAAAAACATTTACTAAGAAGGACAGGCATGGGCAGTTTCTGGCAATTTCCACATCTGTGATAAGTTCCCGAGCCATTACTTAACAAAAGAATAGATAAAATGTTCAGATATGAAATGAATTGTGAAAGTGAAAGAGGTGATTTAACTGTGATCTTTCTGGGGAGAGTTGTATCTTTTTTCTTATTAATATTTTTTTCATTCTATAACCATCTCTTTTCACTTTTTAAGAAAATCATACACACTGAGAAGGGGCTTTCATGTGCAGTCAGCTTTTGGGGCAAGACCAGTGTGGATGAAGTCTTGGCCTGTTTATTGTCTGCAGACTGCTAAATCATAAATGGCAGAGAAAGGACATATAGCCAATAACTGCTGCATTTATGTTTGTCCCAACGAATCCCCCCTCCTGCAGGCAATCAAGGGGAGTCTGTCACAAAAATTGCTCGAAAAGTTAACAGTGCTTTGCACGTTCCGAGAAGTCAATGCCGTGATCCTGGTGTGAAAATTGGAATTAAGCCACACCTGTCACCAATTGACTGTTAAAACTAATGGCTAATTGGCCATTCTGGTTTCACTGCTAGGGCCGACACACAAATCTGTGATCACCAGTCACTTAAATAGTGTGGACTCCGATGCCACGTCTACAGTCCAGAGTCCGGACTGGTTTGCTAGGATTAGGATGCCTAACATCAAACTGGGTCTTTGATTATGACCAATAGTTAATAAAGCTTTGCTTAAACCCAACGAGATATCTAGTAGACAAACAAGATATATTACTATGTAATGTTACCAGATACAAAGGATTATTCCTTTTTTTATTCTTTTCTTTTCAATTCAGCAAAAAGAAACTACTTTCTTTCACATCCATTGACAAATTGAGAGACAAACATAACCAAAGGGACAAGACAGCAGAGATCGATAAAAGGACATATTTACATACATACGATAATTCAAGATTTGAAACCCAATCTCAAACCAAATAAGGGTACACAAAAGTCTTAAGATTGTGAATAATTCTCCAAGATGTTTCCAACTTCACCACTACCTTTTAATAATATGTACATAATAAGGTAGGACGTAAGAAAATTTCAACTTCGGACATGCTTCTTTAGGGGTAAACCTGCGCTTTCTTTAACCTCCAAACCAAACGCTTAGACATTCCATATGCGTCCACTCCACAGTACGGCTCCCAACAGAGCCTGTAGTAGCTCAAGGAAAGACATGCCTTCTCTTGCTTGAGATGGTTTGATACTTTAGATTCAGAAGGCCACACGAATTAAAGATGGACACCAATAAAAATTGTTGAAAAAAAGGGATAGTCCCTGATGTTCTAACCAATGGTTGCTTGCACGCCAAAGTGCCAATAATAGTTTTACCTTTGGCTATAGCTTTTCTTCTATGCAAGACTTGGAAGTTTCATGGCCCCACCCCCACCTCCACCACCCAAAACATTAAAAGCAATAATGGAAAAATATTAATAAAGGGAAGAAAGAAACCATATGGGATAAAGATCCAAGCAGTAACAGCAAGAAACATCCATAGCGGAAAAACTTTCCAGTGAGATAGAAAAAGTATAGCTTGGTAGATGAGTTTGACACGAGCCCAAGTTAAAAGGGTGAGATGCGACTCAAATGCAGGTGGAGAAACATAACAGGAAAAGAGTCATTACATTGTATCTCTTTGTATAACACGTATACAAGTTAGCTTGTCATCGCATGTGATGGCAAGGCAATAAAGCACGTCATGGTAGCAGGACGAGCAAGTTACTAATTTCTAACCTCTATTTTATACAAACATGAGAAGTTACAAATTCCTAGTAAACAGCAACTAGTTAGACAAACTCGTTAGTAGCATTTAGCATCAATTCTGTTCTTTGTATGGTGTCCAGATCAATTTGCTAACATCAACCTCAAGACCACCACGGCCAGCAGCTTTTAGATGACGATCCAATACCTTGGGATCTGCACAGATAACGTGCTGCCCTTTCCTGTACTGAATCAGTTCTAGACTCTGAAGAGTGGTCAATATATCCTCTGCCTTTATAGCTGTCATGTCACTCAGCTCCTGGAGAAAATAGATTCATGTAGAAAATAGTCATAACTAACAACTCAATGACCAGCAATGCAATGACTTCATATCACATGCATGAACCAAAATTTTCAAAGAAACTGCATAACAGAGACAGTTATTCAGCTAAATCCAACACAAGGGCACCTCAAACCTATCATTTCAGGCATGTCTCTTTTACCTCATTTTCATTTTCTCTAATTTCCATATGGAAGATATACTACAGTACAAGTGATATTTTAGGATGCTCATTTTTAAATTAAAGGTTAGAGCCCCACCCATGATCACCATTCTGAAGTGAAAGCAAGCCTGTTCACAAGCTGCTCAGGCTTAACTAGAACATACTCAGATTCTGTAGACTGCAGAATCAAAGCACAAACTCAAGTGGCTTGAGTAGTCGAGCAAACCAAGTTTGAGAAGTGCTAATTCTTTTATATTCCATTATTTAATATGTAGCTATACAAAAAAAGCAAGTCTTTCAAGTCAAACTTGATTTTAATTTGATCATGAACTCAAGTGTTTTATAATGTTGGCTTGACTCAACTTGACCACCTCCCCAGCAAGAACATACATTCTCATAACAACAAAGCACCACGAATTGCATAAATTTACTGCACCACTAGATATTTTATATAGCTCCAGACAGCAATACCTTGATGGAGATATTTCCTTTATGCTTTTTCAAGATGTCTAAAAGAACCCTCGTCCAGTACCCTCTGTAGCTCAACAGCCCTAGGTCGGACAGTGGTCTTTCAGGTGTGCCAACTTTACCTTCTTTCTTTGAAAGTTCATATGCTGGTCCAGAACAGAGACAATATAAGCAACAAAGTTTAATTAGTAAATAACCAACAGGATGAAATGCACGGTAGCACCAATTAAACATAGAAGCATTTGTTTTTGAGATATACTATGCTACTAGAGCGTAGCTATGTATTAAGAAGACAGAAACCTAGGAGGGAGGTTGTGAGGGTCACTGATACTAACAGGCCATATTACTTGATGTACTCCACAGCAATATTGGATATAAACATGCAGCTACTCTTGATTCTAGTTAACTTGAGAACAATTTCAGAGAACCAAATTGGTGTTATATTGAGAGTCTAACTTAGCAGGAGAAGGTTACATTCTCATTTAGATTTAATGCTCAAATTCACTAAACATCATCATTTTCTGCTCACTCTCTCTCTCTCACACATACACACGCAGAGCTCACATATTCTGATCCATTCATATTCAATAAGCCAGAGAAAATAAATAAGTAAATAAAATAGCAGGCAGGGAACTTACAGAAGGCAATTAAAAACTTTCCATAGCCTTTCCTTTGATAAGGAGGAAGGGTGAGGATACATGCCAAATTATAGGATTCCTCAGAATGCTTTTCCTGCATGATCAGAGACAAAATGCTTACTAAGATGTTTGTGTCGAGGAGCACTGTCTCAAACACAGGGAAGGTAGCAATGACAAGGCAAAAAAGAAAGATTAGCAACACTTTAAGCACTAGTCCTAACATATCAAAACTACACAAACTTCTACCAGACATGCCAGGAGTTGAATAAGCAACTGAAAGTCCCAAAATACACAGAGATAAACAACAAATTCTACTACTTGTGAGCCTCTAATTTGAGCAAACAAAGTCAAAAGCAATGCCTCATGCACCCCATGCCACTATAACTAGTAAATCGCACTTACAAAGCATTAAAACTGCCCCAAACATATAGAGATTCATTATAATACCATGCTGCATCAAATCATAAGCAACAAAATTGCACTACAAGTTACCTTGGAAAAATATCCAACCATATGGCAACCTCGATCATCGCATTCACACAAAACATAAAACAGAAACAGGTCAACATCATAATAAAGGGTCTTGTGGTCAAGGAATAACTTCGCCAAGTAACAAAGATTCTGCCCATAAACTTTGTTTTTTTTGCCATCAACCTGTTTCAAAACATTTGATAGAAGGAACAAGAACGTCAACAAAGATTAAAGATCAGTAGCATTCTACGAATTTTGCCATGTAACAGAAAAATACAACATGCGAGCCAGGATAAAAGCAAAAAAATGGTAACACGCATTTCTACACTTGTAAGCCAAATAGAAAGATATCTAGTATGTTTCCCACACTTCGTTGCGGTTTCAGTCAACTACTTTTTTTGATAAAATATATATTACTTTTTCTTCAAACGTGTATATCACCATTAATATTATTATTTTTGGGTGAGATCTAATTAACATAATAAATCAGTGGGAAAGCATAAGGAAATTATACCTCACAAAATTCTCCTCCTTATTTCTCTGTTGTATTAGGTTTGGGTTTGTTCTTTAATTCTTCTGAAGTTGGAGTTGGGCCTAAGTATTTCAACATAATTAGAAACCCTAATCTTCATTTTCTCCCTTCCTCTTTCTCTCCAGCCAACAGTGGCATTTTTCTTTTTCTTTTTTTTTTTTGCTCCGCTTCCTATTTTTCTTCTCTTTCCTTCTTCTTTTCTTTTCTTCTTCTTCAGCTTTTTCTTCCTTGCCCGCATACCCAACACCAGCCAGAAGGGGGCCAACTCCAAGTTGGAAGTTGAAGCCAGGTTGGCCCCAGCTGCTGCCGAATTGCGCATGGGGTCTAAGATTGATCTCTTTCTTCTTTTGGAAAGGGGAGATGTGGCCCTCCCAGCACCAATCCAACACCGGGAAGGCTATTCCAGCCCTTCACCAGCCGGATCTGCGGTTGGGGGTCCAATTCGCCCCTCCACCCCCTTTCTCCTCCTTCCTTGACGGTTTCTCTCACATCTCTTCTCTCTCCGCTCTTTCCAAAATACCCTCAAAGCCATAAACAATGTAATACCCCAAGGAAATCTAAAAAATCCTACGGCCCAGGTTCAGCACAGGCTTTGCCTATAGCTGACTTTCATATATAGGATAGATTAGGTCAAAGCACACAACTTATTTTTAAAATATCCTTTAAGATAATCCATGATTATATGCTTCATTAATTATTGACACGTAAAATTGAACTTATAAAAGTTACAATTTTATGAATGAACAATGAGATAGAGTTGGAGAAAACCAGAATCACATAGTTTTACTTAATTAGCACCAAGAAAGACACCCTTGCTTCCTCTTTTTTGAGTATAGGGAAAAAAAGTAACAGCAGTGAAAGGCTAAAAGCTATGCCACAACATACCTCAAACATTGACAGCGTACCACTTCGATATATCTCATCCCCAGGGGGATGCTTCAGATCGCACTTTCTCTACAGTGTTGTAAATTATAACAAAAAGTTAATATTACTTCCATCCATTTGTGTAACGCAGGTGCACATAGATAGACATGTTTAGAAAAAAAATCAAAAACGATTTTGTCTAGGGAGCAATATCCAAAGTAATTAACTCATTCAACAAATGCAGGCATAAATAAAACTTTCCTGATAAGCAAGTACACTGCCGGCAAATGCAATTTAATATATTACACATCAAGAGAAAAAGATTATTGTTTCCTTAACTTGATCTTAAAACACAATTACAATTGTCAACCATTAAGGCAGCTAAACAACTGGAGGAACAAAAGAATAAACAGTCAGCACCATTAATGCTTTTGCCATTTTCATGCTTTAACAAAATGAAAGAGATTTGAAAATCATCATATGCATGAATCAATCACTTGCAGCTTAGTAAGGAAAATTATACTTTCCGCACTTGTAGTCTGGTGGATATACTAAGTACCTGGTAATTTGGATAGTGAAACTTGACCATAGATTTGCTCAATTATATGAAAATGCAAAATAGCCAGCTTGTCTATGTGCATGAATTCCTTTTATCTTTAATCAATTGGATTAAGAGTGAAAAAGATAGATGAAAATCTAAACCTCGACATAAGGTTCTACGCCTATATAATTAGTATAGTTCTAGAGGGGTGAATATAAAGATGGGTTTGTCATTGCTCAAATTAATCAGAGCATCAACAAGATGTCCAGGGTCCCTTGTGAAACCTAAGGTCATTAAGTGACTTCCATAAAAGAATACAGAAGAAAGAAGATTTGTTAGGGGTCCCTTACTGACTTCCAGCAAAACGTACAAAAGAAAACAATTTGCCCTATGTAGGAAGCAAGCTTTGATTCATGACATATGAAACCAAAGTTACATTTAAAACTTCTTAACCAATCGGGATGGTATGACCACACAAGGTGATTACAAAGCTAGAAAAGAACTAGTACATAGAGGACAATTAAAATCTGACAAGGTATTGCAACCCTGGGTATTGTAGGAAAAGAAAAAAACTATTGCAATATTAAGGCAAAGCTCACCATGTGCCTTTGAAGTTGCTCTTTGCGTTTCATGAAGTTGAGGCAAAACTCACAAAAGTACAACTTCAACGAGTCATTGTATTCTGGTGGAAAGGGGGAGAAGTACCACGTCTCAATTTCATATCTTCCAAGTTCTATGGTCGCTATATTTTTTACCTTTGTGAACTCCTCATGCTCGCGCAAACTAGCAGCATCTAGCTCCTCATGACCCTATAGAACAGAAAAGAACATATTAGAGATAATAGAATTCACAAAGCCAGCGGCATTTACGAAATTCAAATGAGTACCAACTTTTGCACATCACTGAGTGGAAGTTTTACGATTACTTACTACCTCTACATGTGTCTCATCTATCTTTCGTTTTTGATGGCGTGTCATTTTTAAGCTTGTTACCTGAAAACCTCATTGGCAAAGTTCTTCCAATCAATACACCCTCAAAGATAACGAGAGGCAAAAAAGAAATATAAGATTCCACGGAGGGAATGAATGTTTACCTTGTCTTCAACCTTTTCATCAACAACAGTCTCAACTGAATCAAGATCAAGCTGTTCAAGCTTCACCCACTCATCAAGTCTCCTATTAACTATCAATTCCATATTATTATAACAAAAAAATATCAATTTTCAACATTTCTAACATAATAATTCTAAAATTTTATTGGAATCATAAAACCCAAAAAAAGAAATTTAAAGAAAAAACCTAAACGAGACTAAAGATCTTACACTCGGTGTAATGAACATAATATTCGTAATCATTGGGTCCACCGTAATGCACCTTACGACGTTCGATGACTTTGACGGGATGATACTTGCCATCCCTCCACCGGCACATCACGCGAGTACCCACCTCTAGAGGTAGCATACCCACCCTCCTCTTTTTCGTTGCCTCCGACTCCAGCGTCATCTCGGCTGGCGCGCCGTTTGAAGAAGCCAAAGGCTTCTGTTCGCCGTCGGCCGCCGCCGCGGCTGTGTGAGACTGAGTTGTACCGTTCTCTGTAATCGTCGGTGTGTCCATGGAACCCATTTCGGTGGCTTCGGTTCGAGAGGCTTCAGACTTCGAGTGGGCTCAAGATTGTGGCCGTGAGGATACTAAAAGGTGGAAGAAGATTATTTTTGGACCTTGGCCCATGGGCTTCCTTTGATTTGATTCCATACGTTACGTAGACGACTGAGATGAGAGAGATGAATGATAACTGTTTTCTAATTTTTATTGCACTCCCCTTGTCTTTGTCTCAAACTAAACTGTTAGTAATTTAAATTTTAAGTAAAATACCTTTTATCTTAATTTTCAGTCATAATTTTGACGAATTTATTAATTTTTAAAATAAATAATTTATTTTAAAATAATATTTATTGTTAAATATATAAATTTAACCGTTTATATATTATTAAAATATTCATCAAATTGATGACGTGATAATGTTGAAAAAATAATTTTATTTTTTATTAATTTTAAAAATTAATGTATTATATAAGTTATAATTTTTAATTTTTAATTTTTTCTATTAAAAAAAAAAACCCTATCCCCCCGAAGCACCAGATCCAACTCTGGCTAGATCTCCCTCCCTCGAGCTCCCAGCCCCTTATCCCCGACGCGCCCCAAGGGCGAGTGCGTCTCTCATGAGGAGAGCAAGATTCGCACATCGACTCCTCTAAGGAGCATGAGGGTGGGGGCCACAGGGGTGGTTGACCCAAAGGGCCACCGATTTGCCTGAAAACAAAAGAAAATAGTGAAAAAGAAGTAAAAAGAAAGAAAGGTAATTTTAATATTTTACATTTTACCGTTAATGTCATTCATCCATTTGAAACGTTTTATTTATTTTAAAAATTAATAAATTCACGTAAATTTATAATTAAATATTAAAAAATGAAAATGTTTTATTTTGAAATTTTTATAACTAAATACAATAATAAAAAATAAATTATATTAATTTTAAAGACTTAAAAAGAGTATATATAATTGATGGAGAGGATAAACTGTCAATCTATTGATTTCTACCCAAGAGAGACCAATTGGACAGCATATTCGATTGCCCAAGTAGCTAAAAGAATGATGGATGAGGTGAGAGAATGGAGAGATTTATCAGAATTACTAGTGTTAATCCAGAAAGCTATTGATAATGATAGGAATATGTGTCTAAGACATTAGGGGTAATTCGGATTTATATAAGAGATTGTAATATTCCATGATAGATGAGTACTCTTTTTTTCTTATCATAGGTTTGTCCTATCGGGTTTACTATGATAAGGGTTTTAACGAGGCTCAAATCCATAAGAGGAGAAACAAAAGGGGTGGGATGTTTGTCTTTGTCTAATATTGATTATCACGCTATATATGACAATTGTATAATTAATGAAAAGTATTTTTAATTTAAAAATATATATATATATATATAATTTTAGATTTATATTTGATACATTAGTAATATATAATTTTTATTCACGTTATCAAATGATGTCATTTCACTAAAAAATAAATTTAAAATTTTAAGAAATTTAAAAATAAATATAATTTAAAAAACAAAACAAAAACAAATTTTTTCTCTCTATTTCCATCTCACCCATTCACTTCTTTTCTTATTCTCTTCTCTTGTTATAATTTTAAAATTCTTAATTTTAAATTTTAAAAATAATATTTATTTCAATATTTTTTTAATTTACTATTTTTAAAATATTATAATTGTTTATTTATCACTTTTATTTAACTAATAAAAGAGGTTTTTCGAATACTTTTGACATTTTGACATAATTATGAAATTTCAACCTCGTGATACTTACGTTGTAAAGAAGAAAAATGAATTTTTGTTTAAAATTATTTTTGTTTAAAATTATTTTTTGAGTTTCATCTGTTCATAAATTGAAAGGAAAGTTGTGAATAAATTTTTATTTCGTCCTGTTTAATCTTCACGAAATTTGCACTTTCTGGGTAGTGAAAGAAAGCTAAGTCCTATAGATTTTTTGTGTGCTGCAGGTTGGGTAACTTTTGTGAACCACGTGTTGCATTGATATTCCAAGAAGACAATTATATTTCTTTAGGGCTTTGGGTTGTTTTGCTGGCAACTGTTGCTGAAAAAATAAAAAATTTTATCTCATTATTTATTATTATATTTTGAAAGTAATTTCAAATGGAAGAGTGAAATAAATATTAAAAATTAAATTAAGAAGAAAAGTAGATATTATTGTAAAAATTTAAAATTCTTTTTAGGATTTTGAATACATTGTTGCGGAAGGGAAGAGAGTGAGCAAGAGAAAGTTAGAGAGATAAAAAGATTATTTATTTTTTTAAAATTAGTAATATTTATATTTAAATCTTAAAAAATTTAAATTTATTTTTTAATAAGATGACATCTGATGCCCAGAAAGTGTATAAAATTTTACACTATCAATATATCAAATTATACACTGTGCTGCATCTCTGTCCCAGTTCATTTGCTGCCACTGGTGAGCAATTAATTTTCATACTTAATGGGCTGTCGATATGACACACGGGGCAAGTCTAGCGAAACCAGCCACAATTACCAGCTGACTGATCCGGTGCTGTCAATTCCCATACGTTTAAGATCTGACTCTCTACAACGGACAGGAGATCCGATGAAAACTACGTGCTCCCAGGAATCTGGTCTTGATATAACAGTGCAAGCATACTTAAGAGCAGAATTCAAGGGGATGAATCAAGGACTCATGCTGTTTTTGTCGTGAAATTTCTCTTTCCCCCTTTTCTGCCCTCATAGTTATTGTAATTCTTGTAACGTTATGCAAAAATCTCGTAACAGGGAGGATATTAAAGCATTCAGTAAAGCCAGCATTTGCTGTTCTTCGAAAAAAAAAAAAGGGTTCCTTCCCATCAATCGACTTTAACCTAGTCACAATAAGAGAAGATGAAATCTCAGAGGAGAATTGGATTCAGATGCTTGTATCAATCTTTTTTTGAGCAAGATTTCTTTTGCAGATTAAAATGTTCAAAGAATATGTACATACTAACTATACAGAGCACGCACAGTAGGCAACACCAATTTTTTTTTTTTTGTGTTTAATTCCTCACATTCACATAGTGTTACAATATGCAGATCTCCTGTCCCCAACCGCTACGAATTTTCTAGCCCCCTGACAAAACATGATGCAATAATCCCTCACCCACTGTACAATTACTCTCACAATGAATATACAACAATGATGCCAAAACTTCCCATCCCGAGCCAGAATGTGGCTCCCCTATCATCAAGGTGACACTGGCCCCAATCACATCTCCATCTCGGTATTGATTCTGCCGTTGTACTGCCTTCATAATCCGATAAACATGGCACCTCCGCACAGAAAGCAGCTATTAAGGGCACATATGGCTGCCACCCTCCCTTCACTAGGCAATTGAACACCCGGGTGTTGACTCAGCCTCCTTTTATCCATTATGCTCCAGTTGTCCATCAGAACAAGTATCCTGCCTGATCTGCTTCTCCTTAGGAAGACAATCAACAGGAACATAACAATATCCTTTGGGTAACCGTGAATTCTTCATAGATGCTTCATCTGATGTCATTACCAACTCCTTTTCAAATGTTTCAATAGGCTGAGATTCACAACATGGCAAGCATCAGCCAAGATTCCTTTTTGCTTGTGAGAGAGAATGCAAGTGAAAAAAATGCTGATGCAAAAAATAGAATTCTACCTTTCTTGATTTTGAGTTCCATTCTGCATTATCCAAACCATTACGAGATGCAAGAGAATATCTATGAGGGATTTGCTTCCCGGAAAATGGCACCCTCTCTGTTGGCTTCCGAACAAAAAGGCTCTGCGAAGTGGAGCTGTCATCAGTCCTTTGATCATTGTCCATAGACACAGGAACCTTCACTCGGTGCTTAACTGAAAGAGTACTGTCCACAGTTACATCATCTGACCGCATCGCCTCACTGCATGATTTGTAACCATCGGTATGGCCCTTGAGAGAAGTTGTTGCAGATTCTGAGCTAACATCCGGATGGAAAAAAGGACTATGAACAAGCACTGAACGACTAACATGATCTCTTTTGCAAGCTAGTATTTCGTGTGAGCAAACAACCAACTCCTTCTGCAAACATTCACAATCGCATTCTCACATTTAATCATGAAAAATGGAAAAACTGCCTAACAGAAGCAGCCACATCAGCAAAACAATAGAGTTAAAGTAACCATTAAGAAAAGCTACTACCTTCAATTTTTCACGTTTGATGATTCTTTCACAAAGAAGGCGTAACCTCTCCAGTTCAACCTGTACAAGAAAATCCACAGGAAAAACTCAATGGTTACACAGTTCATAAAATAATCTAAACATTATAAGACCAAATTAGAATATAGCACAAATTCTAAACAAACCCCAAAACGTGGCAGAATGCCCTTACCCGAATTTGTTTCATGTTTTTCAACTCCTCAATTCCATGTTTCTGAGTTTCAGCCTACAGAAATTATTCAACAGATAAACAATACAGTACAAATAACCAACAATAAAACAAGTCACTAATTTTAAAAACAAACATTTAAGTGTTCAAACCTTTGCTCTCTGCTCCACACTGTGCTTTTCACAATATGCCTTGTGCTGCAATTTGCCACCAACAAGCTTCACATTCATATAGAAGCCAGCACTTCTAGCACAGGAAGGATGAAAAGTAGTCTGACAGTGACCATAACTACACTGCAAACAATAAAACTTCAGCTGCTTAGCTACAAAGTCTCTTAATTGCAATAGCTCCTTCTAGTTAAAAACCTAAGTATTAAAACAAAAAAATTTTCAGAAAAAGAAAAGAAAGAAGCAATTATAACCCTCACCTTAATGCACACACCATGCTTGCGACGGCAAATACAGCAAATGTCAACCCCTCTTGAAGCAGTCTCCTGATATTCAATTCCACAAAACAAATTTAAATAAGACCTATTTTTCTTCAAGTAGTAATTCACTAATGACTTGGCTTATCAAAAAAGAGTAATCATCTAATGACTTAACATGCACACATACCATTCCTTCTACAGGATTTACTTGTCCCCTTCTGAATGTTGATTCAAGAACCCACTACAAAGTAATAGGGCAAGAAATCACTTCAATTCA